ATTCAACTGATTAAATTCATCCAGATGAACCTAGACGTTGCAACTTCCGACTTCAACAGTTAAATATCTCGCGCAAGTTAGCATTAAATTTCGTCCAACGTAATTCATAAGTTCAAACAAAATCCTTTGTAAATTGAATAGTACTGGATAATAAAACCGGTGAATATGGTCCCTGAATCAACCCGACTGATAATCTTAGCCAAACCGACTGGTATTCTATCACGAACTTAGTGCATACAGCAACTCCATTTCTCCTGTAATATTTGACTGATAACCAGTAGCAACAAACTGTAAATTAATAACCTTTTTGCCCTTCCTGAATTAAAGCGCGCCCAATGTTATTTTCCTGCAAAAACCAACAGACTGAACAAACTGGTTAGCGGTTAGTTAAAATGCAATGCAGAATGAGATGGAATGCGAAATGGTCCTAATAACCTAAGGGTAAAATTTGGGGTATGACAACAGTAAACAAGCATCATATTGTTCAGAACTCACAAGAAAGGAAATTTTCAAAACAACAGAATTTGCTCAAAAAGGCTTTAACACAAACTTGGAAAAGAGATAAACGTTCAGAGCAGAGGCTATGCAACACAGGGCAACAGGCGATAGGTTCAAAATACACACAAAAAAGCAAGTCGTAGAACACCAGAATTTGGCAGAATAACATCAACATAGAAATAGAAAAAGACAAAATGTTGATAGCAGGTTCACAGAGTACAACAACCAAGATTCAAAGTCAAATATTGATCTCATTAAAAAGGGAAGGGGGAACTGATCGAGGGGGGAATAAAAAAAAACTTATCAGAACACAGAGCCACCAGAGAGAAAGAAAAAGGCCTTGAGTTCCTACCACCAAAAAACTAATTCCAGAGAGAGAGAACAGAGATATTTCATCAGAGAAAGAACGAGCCATCACAAAAAAGGGGGTCATTCTGCAAATCCCTACCCGACATATCTCACCAAGCCATAACAACATTTTACAATATAAAAAAAAGGAACTTCAGGAGGAAATTAGAGGAAGGAAAGGGAGGGGGTGAAAGAAAGTTACCTAGAAATCTTTTTTAGAATTTTGTTTGAAGAAAGTCTTCAAGAGTTATCTCTTAAGCTCTTTTTTGTTTTCAAGATTAAGTTACCTTTTCCGTTTTCATGTTCATGTTTGTCCACCGAATGGTGTAGCATGTTGTGCTCTGCGTGATTTACGCAAATTCGGTGGTATTTGGATCTAGGGTTTTACTTTGGGGAAGGTTAGATTTGGTTGTTTGAGTGGGTTTTGGAGAAATTTGGTTTTAGATTCGAATAGAGGATAAAAATAGGTAGCATTAGTGTATAAGGTTTGGTGTTTGGGTTTGGCCTCGCCAGAGAAGACGGCGGCGATCGCCGCTGGCCACCGTCTCCTCCAATCGTTTTAGGTTTTCGGCGTTAATGTTCTTTTTTTGGTTTGCAGAGAGAGACATTGAGAGAAAGAGAAAGAGATTTGCTTCATTTTAAGATGACCCTCGTTTTGTTTATAATATCAAATCTACTAACACCCCCTCCACCCACGTGTCATCATCACGGTGCATCATCAACATTATCTTCATGACTATGTGCGCCTCATCATCCCCCTTATCATGTACCCTCATTTGCCAACCCTTTAATATTAAGTCTTGTTGACTCTTGGATAAATCTGACGCTCAGGATTCATTCTGAGGTCAATGGCTGACCTAGGGTTCATCGTGGACCCTCCTTGTTCCAACATGGACCTTCAATAGTGGGCTTAGACATTCTGATTTTTGCACCCCTTTGCTTACTTTTCATCTTAGCCCATTTCTTTTTTTTTATTATTAGTTTTTTATTTATTTCGTTTTTTTTAATGAAAATGCAAAAATGTTCTTTTAAAAAAACAATAATTCTTAAATTAATTTTATTAAATTCCTTTATTTAATAATAATTAATCTATTAAGAGATTAATTTTATTAAACATTTGATTTTAATTCAATTAATTATTTAAAAATACTTTTTATTTAGGTAATTGATTTTAAATTAATTTTGTCAAAACCTTTTATTTAATACTAATTAATCTGTTAAGAGATTGAATTTATTAAATATTTGATTTTAATTCAATTAATCATTTTAAGTTAAGTTCTTTAGTCCTAAAATTAAAAAAAAAAAGAACAGTTATTCACTTAAGGTTTAATTTGTTTATTTTGACCTTGTCTCTTAAGAGATTTTGATTAAATAATTTGCACTTTGATGATTTTATTGTTGATTTTATATCACGATGAATCCTTGTTTTGTTCATGATTGTTCCATAATCATTGATGATTAAAATGTCTTGGTAATAGTACTTTGTTAATGATGTTTCCTTGTGCGCTATGTCTTGTACATGATACCATGTGCTGTTGTTTTAAGTTATGTTCTCTGTTACTGCTTGTCACCTATTTCCAAAGGAAAGGAGTTTTTTTTTTTGTGACCACCATGGCCCATTTTGTATAGTTTAGTCTACTTCCTACCTTCCCTTGGCCTTTTTAGACTCACTTTCCCCCCTCTTTAACCTAGATTTAGGGTAGGGTTTGTAAATCCTACGTAAGTACTATTGTTATAAGTACTTACATTCCTTTCTTGGCCTTGTCAGAGTCAATGGTCTTACAACTTAGAATTAGGTATAGAGTTTGTAAACTCTATGTGAGTATCATTGTTATGAATACTCACTCTCCCCTTTGACTTTGATTAAAGTCAACCTTAGTTAATTTTTCAACTTAGACTTAGGGAGTTTGTTAACTTCATGTAAGTACCATGGTTATGGATACGCATTCCCCTATGGAACCTTGATCGTTATCAAGAGTTCCTCCCCCCTAGTTAGGAGAACTACGGTTGCTCTGATTCCATCCTAGTCAGGATACGTAGGCACGAGATGCGACGTCTTGGCGAGCATACTTAGTGTGTATACCTTAGGTCTTTACCTTATCATTTTTTCCTTAGCAAGCAAATATTAGCATAACGCAAATACTAACAAGTGGGTCTTGTATAGTACTACAGATACTTAGGATGTTAACACCTTTTCTAGGTATAACTAACCCCCAAACCTTAGTTCTCTTAGCTTCGTTGTTACGTAGCGCACTTAGGATTTTCTTCGATCTTTACCTTTCTTTTGGATAAATCAAAGCTCGGCGGTGAACTTCATGATTTGTGATTCAAGTTAATTAATAACTTGATATCCGATTCCCACCGCAACATTGTCTTTGTGCGAGTTATAGAGAATGAGTTGATCAATCTTGTTGTGATTGACCAAGCTCTTGATATCAATCAAGAACCAAGACTCATTCATCTAGAAACTTGATAGAACCTTTTGTGTGTTCTTCATTCACCAAAATTGAATTACTTGACTAATACCTTGTAATTTGAGTGGTTGGTTGAGATTATCTAATTTTCTTCATCATCTTCCTCTCCTGTTTTTTTTCCTTTTGATTGTGGACCTTCCTCTAACGATTGAGTGTTAAAAGGACTAGTGGTATATTATAGTATCTAATGTTTCTTTGTGAAGCTGATTTTTGTGTAACAGGTGCAGGTATCGTTTCTTGAATGCAGTTTGCGATTGATTTATTATCTATCAAAAAGAGAGTTTCTAATATACTCCAATGAAGACTTTGGCAAGATCAAGTATCAATGGTCTGTGAGGCAGAGTTGGAAGCTGGCCTTCCTTAGTGGCGTTGGAGAAAGATTGCTCGCGGACAAAAAGTTGGGAGTTGTCTAATATACGCTTAGTTAATGGCAACCGCTCAAATAAGAAATCGGTGGGATCAGGAGAATCGCCACACACGAATACTTAGAGCACTTTATTATGGATAGCGAGGTTATTGGATCAGGATCTTGAGGAATCTTATTTTGTTAGCAGCTTAGTATTTGCATCCATAGTGGAATTATTGTGTGATAGTTCTTTGTAATCAAAATATTGTAATCAATTTTATTAAAATAGTGGAAGACTGTGATTATGTTTTGATGGTATCATCCATTGAATAGTGTAGTAGGCAAAACGAGGACAAACACTAGAGTAATGTATATCTTTATATATCTTTTCTTTTTCCCTTTTCTCTTTTATTTTGCAAGCATTCATTCATATTTATTGTTGCATTATTGCATAATTACATTGATTGTATGCCATATAGGTTAGACCATACTTATAGTGATTTAATGTATAAGCTTAGGTATATGATGTATCAATCTTGTGAAATCATCATAAAGCCAGTTATATTTTGTTAAGAACACATAAGGAAAGTGTTATTAAATCACTTTATATAAAGCAACTTTGATTATTTTGTAAGTGACTTTCACTAGAAACAATCAACCTCGTGGTAACCTCATGTATTATTTCACGTGGCTTGATTCATTGAGATGCTTCCAAGCTCTCGTGTTTTTGTGTTTTTCTTGTGCGCTTCTTAAAATCTTTGATTTCGTTTATGAAACCTAAAATATTTTTCAAATTGTCTAAAGAGAAAAGAGTCTATTCAACCCCCTCCCTGTTCTAGACATCTTTGTAATCATATTCTCACCCTACAAGTCTATCATTGTTACTTTTACTATGGAGGCATAAAATGTTTTGAAGAGTTAAGAGACCAATACGGACCTTTCTAAAATTAAAGAACTGAAATGAACTCCAAAGTTAAAATACGAGACCAAAAAGGATATTATTTTATTTGTATGTCCCAGTCCCACTAGAACGTTTTGTTTTCTAGTTTGAATAATCCATCCATGGAACAATATGACGATATCAGAATCCTCATTTGGAATTTTGAACCATAAAATGACTAAGAAATTACTTAATTTTTTCGCAGAAAATAATTCTATGAAGATAACATATACCCTCTTAGAGCAACAAATGTTCAAAGATGATTTTTAACTGGTTTGGTGATTCAAGAGAACTCTCTTCGTCCACAGTTTGAGTCTTTCTTGAACTTCATTCTGAGAGAAGGAACAAGTTAAATATGGCTTATTGCATAGACCAAAGAATGTAGTATAACTTTTCAAGGCAATACAACTGGCTCAATTCTCCATATATCTCTAGCATATTCATGAATAGTCCGATCACTACTGAATTTATACGAACCAGCTGTGTTCAATATTGACATTCTTGTCCATTTCTGCAACAACACATCAATATGTCATGGGTTGCACATTTTAATCTCCGTAACAGATTCGACAAAAAATAATGTTTTGTGCATGACTTGTTACTTACTTTTTGAACACGGTATGCCTTGTCAACTTCCTCTTGGCACTCCAAGTAGCTAGGGAAGTCCTTGCCAACAAGAAAATAATCGGCACGGCCATAGCCTTCATTCCCTTCCAAAGATCCTATCAAATCGTCGTAGTTATAAGTGCCAAAAACACCACTTCTAACATATGACTTCACTTCTTCAAACCGCGGGTCAGGTACAAACTGCATATATCATACAACAGGCCACATAATTTTGTTGGTATCGACTTAAAGGATCTATAAACAAGAAAATGTACTATTGCATTGAACCAATTATTCTGGTTTTCTGATTGTTTAAAAGCTTACCTTTCCCTCTGCTCTTTCTTTTCTTAACCCTGCAATCTCTTGAGCGCGTGCACCAAAAAGAAAGAAGTTGTCTTCTCCAACTTCTTCTCTTATTTCAACGTTAGCCCCATCGAGAGTTCCAATTTGTACGCATCCGTTCATTGCAAATTTCATGTTGCTTGTTCCACTGGCCTCCATACCAGCTGTGCTAAATGCTCGAAAAAAAGCATTCAGAAACAAAAATTGCTAAATTGATTGTAAATTAAATGTAAAATATTTTGTTAAAAACAATTTCTCTATACCTAATGTGCTGAGACAGTTCACTGCCAGGAATTAGCATTTCAGCTACACTGACATTGTAATCAGGAACAAATACAACCTGCAGATTAAGACCAGGAACACGATTAGTCTTATGAAAAAGTAAATAATGATGATAGTTTAACACCCTTTATCAGAACCGCCTCAAATTTTCTGCTAACATCCTATAATTCTATTTTTGCTACAGATGAGGAGGCCAGTGTTGTTACGTACGAAGAATCGCACAAATTTGTTAACTACTTCAGATGAACAAGACAACCAAATTTTTGAAATGCCTTTAATGTGTCCAGTTATGTATCACCCGAGTTTGACTTATACCTTCAAAAGATCTCCGATCTCTGGATCATGGTTAACTGTGGCTCCTACATCTGTGATGAATTTTACAATCCTCTTGGCTTGAACATATGTTGCAAATGCTTTCCCACCAAAAATACAAACTCGAGGAACAAATACTTGTTTTCTTTCCTCAGCACTCAACTCTTTCATTTTCTTGTACCGATAAACAATTCCCATGATATTCAGTAATTGCCGCTTATATTCATGTATACGTTTCACCTGAAAATAGATGCGCCATATGTTACTAACCATGAATCGAATGTGTTACACAACATGCCATTGGAATTTTTATGGTTGTCCTATTTTAGGAGCAGGAACTAATGTTTGTTACTTGAAAATGTGAAAAATATACACTCCCGACATGAAACATTGCCAGCATTGCTATTATTCAAATGTTAACTAAAACAGGAGAAGAAATAATTGAAGTTCTTGATGGCGGAAAACCAACCTGTACATCAAACATTGCGTTGGGACTGACAACATAACCCGTTTTCTCTTTGATAAATGATGCAACCTTAATCTTGTTTCTTCTCTTTGATTCCATCCACTCTAATTGTAAATCTTCATTATCTGCAAACTGTTAGAAAAAGTTATCCATAAGAAATAAACATATAGGAATTAAATAAAAACATAGAATTTGAGCATAAAAAATTTGTGATGTGACATTCAACTACTATAATGCTTGTTGCCGTTTGCGAACTGTGGAAGTTACTGCACAGAATTTTTTTAATTCATATATTACTAACAATGTTTAGTTAAATTGATTTACCTTGCGAAGTATAGCCAATTTCTCAAGATCTGTTACCCAGTCTTCTGTTCCAATCCATTTGGTTATGATTTTACTAAGATCGGGATTACAGAAACGGATCCATCTTCTAGGTGTTACCCCATTTGTTTTATTCTGGAATTTCTCAGGCCACAACTGTCATATCAATGACAGAAAAATTTAATGAGTATCTTATTTTATGGATGTTTATACCTAGCAATCCCAATAAATAACTGTTCAAATAAGCAGAGAAGGAATCTGCTGGCTTTAGTACCTCATAAAATTCATTAAAAACTTCCTCTTTTACAATCTCGCTGTGAATCTCAGCTACTCCATTCACAGAAAATCCACCAACAACACATAGGTTAGCCATGCGAACCATCATCGGCAGTTTTCGATCAACTTTGAATGTCATTTCTATTTTGTTCTCTAAAACAAGGTCTTCCCCATCATTGTCTTCTTCTTGTTCCTCTTCCCCCGCTTCATCTTCTTCGTCTTCATCTTTCTTGTTTGTTGCCTCTATATCACTATCATCAACATCAATTTCCTCAACAGAATCAACAGCAGGAATTGTATTATTAAGCAACTCAACCACCGAATCAGGCAGCTCAATATTTTCAAGTATTCTCATCTTTCCGAGCTTTTCTTGCAGCAAGTTAAGATCACCAGTCCCATACTCAGAAATAATTTCATGTATAAACTGGTCAAGAAAACAAAGATACTGGACATTAGATATAGAATTTCATAAAGGCCATATGACGGGCATATGAATTAAGAACAATTTGAACACCAAAGCCGCATAAGTTTTTCAACGTTACCTCCTCATCTATCTTTCTTATTATTTCCACATGTCGAGGAAGTAAATCCTGCAGAAGCGTCAAACTCCACTTCTCTAGTGCCTCTGGTAGAACTGTGTGGTTTGTGTAAGCAACCGATCTAACAACACAGCCATCAAAAGTGGGATCAATGTAAGTGTAGTGATCAAAGTAGTTGTTATATTGGAAAGTGACTCTATAAAGCACCATGGATACATTAAAAATATTGTTACTGATAAGCTGTAAATTGTGAAAATAGAAACTCAGTTTATTTGTATAAGTTCGCACGCTGATACTTGAAAAAATGTAGAAGCAGTGCTACTTAAAATCAATTCTACTAAAATTGTAAGTACTTTGAAGTCCTAATAATGGCTTGATATCTTTCAAATATAAATTGGATACACGGTTGATGTAAAAAGAAGCACCTTTTAGTAATATCCCAAGCTTTCTCCCAGCTTAAACCCTTAACATCTATTAGGATCCTAATCAGCTCGGGAATGCAAAGTGTTGGGTGAGTATCGTTCATCTGTACCACCACTTTATCTGGGAGGGTCTCCCAATTTACCGTCCTTCCCGATCTCTTTTCAAAGCGTGCAATAATATCCTGGAGAGACGCTGAGCATAATGTATATTGTTGCTTTAGCCGTAGAGTCTTTCCTTCGATTGATTCATCCCCAGGGTATAGAACGTAACAGATCTAATTACAATGAACAATAAAATAAAGTATAAGGAGCATCGTAAATGATTCATGAAGACAGTCGACTGAACTTAGTTTTCTGTAGATGCAAAGAAAGTTCTCTGATGATTTAGATTTAAGATTGAGGTGCCAGTACAATTTGAAACAAGAAAATAAGGTTTACTTCATATTTATGCAATAAATTCTCAAGTCAGTTGTGGATATTTAGAATCTTCCGGAATGTGCTTTCAAAAAGTTGAAAGGAAGATATCGAACTTAGATGCAAATGTACGAATCATAAAGAAACAAGGCTGCCACAGACCTTCTCTGCGTTCTTCATGGCAGCGTATGCTTTGGCATGATCGCCAGTATTGAAAGCTTGCAAATCGAATTCTTCAGTTGAAACTTTAGTGGACCATAATCGCAAGTTTACGGTGGTTCTAGTTTTGTATCCAGGTATTGGAACATCATAAGCAACAGCCGATATATTTTCTCCTCCAATCCACTGTTTACTTCCATCTGGCCCTGAAATAACTTCTCCATAGAATCTAACTGGATAAGAAACATCTTTCCTCTGAATTTCCCAGGGATTCCCCATCTATAAAGAGACACATCAGTCAGTGAATCTCACTGCAGAAGAAGAACTTGCAAAGCTCCCAAAAAGAGTGATAGAAGTTAGAACATTTAAAGAACAAGCATGCCTTCACTAATATGAAAATTTGGCTTCTAACCGATTTTACAATAGAATATCCATATAAATAACAATACCTCGAGCCAATCTTCGGCAACTTCCTCCTGACCATCATTGGTGATAAGCTGTTTGAATAAACCGTACTTATATCTAAGTCCATATCCCCATGCAGGGTAATTCAGTGTCGCCAAGGAGTCTAGGAAGCAAGAAGCAAGCCGGCCTAATCCTCCATTCCCAAGAGCAGCATCTGGCTCCTGCGGATTGTATGCAAGTTCACTTTTAAATAAGTTCTGATTAATTATTTGCAGTACATCCATATTACTATCGTTTTATTCCTGAAAGGTTTTTGGTTTTCTGTAGTTTCTATTGGTTCTTTATCAGTATGTTTCCACACAAGATGAATACATGTTACTGTTAAACATACTTGCTTTTTTCCTAACAAAATCATTTTTTCAAAAAAAACAGTTTTTTACAATCTTGGGTGAAATATGAACGTAACAGTTGTCAAGAGAAAGCCTGAAAAGATTACCAATAACAATTTCGTGAAATGGAAAGAAAGGGATTATCCCCGCTCAACTTACTTTTACATACCAGGATGACTTATTGATAAACAAAAAAGTAACAAGACTTAAATCACTTGGTAGTTTCTAACAAAAGAAGATACACAGCAACAAATGAGAATGATAATAGAAGAAAAAACCTGATTACCCATGTCTTCTAAACTGTAACCAAGCTTTCTGAGGGCTTCGGCATAAGGACCTGAGAGTTCTAAATTCCCAACTGCATTTAGCAATGCCCTGCCCTTCATAATTGGGAAAGAAAAAAAGGGTAGTAATGGAAATTAGTTTTCATTTGCAAAGGAAATTAGCGGCGTCTCATAAAGGAAACTCAATATAAACCTGTAGATACTCCATAGACATGTAATAAGCATGTTTAACATTAATCCTCTCATAATAATCATATGTTGCATTCCAATTTATGATGAGGAAATCACGGACACTCTCCGCAGTTGCAAAGAAAGCTTTACTGGGATCAAACTTCTCAGGTGAAAAAGATGTGGTGAACTCAGCATGATATTTGATGCTTGAAGCTATAGCCGTAGAATCTGGTACAAATTCATTTGTAGTGCCTGCAACTGCAAGTGTTAGCAATAAAGAACTAACATTTAGGAGCATGTTTGCAGAAGAGAAGAAGAAGAAGAAGAAGAAACAATATTGTAGGACTATAATACTCATAAATCTTGGATTTGTAAGTTTGATATAAATGATGAGAAAATCTAGAATTCCTTTTAACTTCAAGAGTACACTTCTATATTGGCTATGGAATTGCTCAAATGTGTTGCTAGTTCTTTTTAACTGAATTCAGCGTCGTCAAGGAGTCTTTTTAACCATAATGTGCACTGACAGTTTAATTCGATATAAGCTTAAGCATAACCATGGTTCCCACTCCTTACTTTTAAGAACCTTTCAAAACAAGGCACTAGTAGCAACCCATTAAACCCATCAAATTTTCCCTAAACTAAAATTCCTGCAAGCCTGGGTGAAAAAGTACTACTACTTAAATTATAAGCATGAATTTCCTGAATAATATACGAAAACGAAAAGAAGTGGAGTGAAGAAAGAATCACAAAACAAAAGCAAATGTCAGCTAGCAACCTTGTCCAGTGAGTGGTTCTTTCAGTTCCTCCTTTTTGTCGCTGGCAACATTCTTCACAGACAGCTTACTTACAGCTCTACTGGAACTTGACTTTGTGATGACAAACAACTGCCAAATATTGTTTCTTTGATCGAAGCCTATGAAGCTTGATTTGGAATGTAGATGTAAAGGTGTGTTGGAATGTCTGCAGATTGTTGAGAAAGGTAGAGCAGACATTGCTGCAAGGCTTTTCTTTTCTGTATGTATGTGTCTCAATGTGTCTCAGAGGAAGTAATATTCCGCAGAACAGAAACAATGCTATGTTACTTTGACTAGTGATGAAGAAAAAAGAACGAGTGAAAGAGAAAGTGTGTATGTGTCTTATCTTTATTGAGTATATCTTGGTATTTGGATAGGATGCTCATATCACATTAAACACGAGCTAAAATATGCTGTCATTATCTACTTACCCTTTCCTTTTGTGACTCTAGCTGGTTGGGTCCTCCTCCTCCTTCATGATCAACAATCCTCACATTTTAACTACATATGCATAAAAGTTGAAACTAGTTAATGACCAAATCACCCCTCAAATAATTATGTTTTTCTGTCTTGCCCATTTGGATTTTTGTTTTACTTTTGGTCCATGTATTGATACTGCCATGCTGGATTATTGTCCAAATGTAGCAACTTGGACAAAAAAAATATAACTTTTTTCTTATACTCTTGACTGGGGAGACAAACATATCTCAGTTCTTCTATGTTTGTGTATCTCAAAAAGACATGGAGTTATCGATCAAATTGAGAGCTTCAATATTCTCACTATTTGTTCTTTTCTCCGTTCAGGAAGACATCGATATACAGAACTTGCATTGAGGTTTGCATAAACACGCCATTCAGACATTATCTCTAAAATACAAAATATGAAATAAAATTAAAAACACAATAATGAAAGAAAAAATGCTGAGTAACTTCTATTCAAAGACCAGCATAGAGATAAAGCGGGAGAGAATTTAAGGCAGTTTCTTGTGCAATAAGTATATGCTCTATCTGTAAATCATATAACTTAAAAATTAGTATACAATAACAAAAGTCAATGCAAGAGATTGACTTAAATGGCAAGTTTTCAGCAAGAAAAATTGCGTATGTACAAACTTAACTCCCCAAAGTATACCAGGTTGCAACTCAGGGGTTTTGATGAAACAATTATCGGTGATACTGAATTCAAACATCTTCCTATAAAAAAAGTTCACACACAATAATAACTAATTATGTTTCCTCAGTCTTCACGGGAGAAAAACCAGTCATGGACTCCGGCTTCTTCCTGGCATGTGAAATGAAACCAAGAATGTATCCCAGGAAGGCCCCGAGCACCAGTACACTTCCTCCTTGGACATACCATGACAATGTGGATTCTTCAATCCGGCCTTCAGGCTTAACAGTAGCAATACCACCATTACCATAACCACTGACAACTTCTCCAGATTCCAGAATTTCCATTGTGTCATGCACCTCGCCATCATGGTTTCCAACATAAGAAATCACAAGCTTCTGCTTTGTAGCTACCAGTCTAATATACCCAAACTCACCCGCACGGTACAGAGATCGTTTTGGTTGTGGATAGATTGGAAGATCGGGATGATTTGGTCTTGGTTCCCAGATGGGTTGCCAGTCTTGCCCTGCCATGCCAATCACAAGATGAACAGTATATCCTTCTTTTTCCCCTGCTTTCCGGCCTACATGACTTCCACAAGTGTAGTTATTCAGCGGACAAAATTTCTCGTATCTATGAACATGACCCCAAAGTGCCAGAGTCACATTGTTATTCACCAACAGAGGTTCCAGGTGCTCAATCATCTTTCCTCTTAATGCAGCATCCCTAATTTCATTGCTTGTTGTGTACATGGGTCGGTGCCCTTGGACTACTATAAAAGGAGTCCTGTTCCTATCAACTGATTCTAAATCATGTTTTAAGAAGTTATACTGGTTTCCCCCAGGAAGGAAATTGGTCTCTGTGGATATATACACAAAATGTACTGCTCCCATATCAAATGAGTAATAAAGATTCCGAGTTGCTGGAGCTACAGTTCCAGTGGGTTCTGAAGAGTTTCCAGGCATGTTGAACCTTAAACTATAGGGTACACCACATTCACCACCCCCATCTTTTCCATAACCAGCCCAATCAGGTTTCCATGGCTGTAAAGGCCAGTTATACTCATGATTGCCAATGCATACATGGTATGCCAATTTCGTTGCAACAGGTTCAATCTGCGCAAAAAAATGGTCCCACAACCACGCATAACCTCTTGCATAACTGATGTCTCCGATGTGTGACACAAAGGCAGGCTTGTTTCCTAGAGCTTCAACGTCACGGAGGATCCACTTCATGGTTGATATGCTTTCGTCTTGTGTACGCACAAATGTATTGTATGGCGTAGCTGTTCCCATGTCACCAAAAAGGAAAGCTATTGTTTCATTTGAATCACTATTCCTCGACACAAAGCTATGAGTTGCACTCCAACCTCCATTGTCATTTCCAACCTGGCATACAGAAAATACCATAATCCAAATTAGGTTCTGGTTACCGCATAGCGATTAAATGAATCAAACTTAAGGACTTCAGGAAAATCTGATATTATCTTATCATATATTTCATCAAACAGCTAGAGGAAGAGGAAGACCTAGAAAAACTATAAGAGAAGTTATTAAGAAAGATCTTGGTCCTAAAGAGAACATTATGGCGAAAGTTGATCCATGTTGCTGACCCCACTTAGTGGGATAAGGTTTGGCTGTTGTATATATTTATCAAACAATTTTTTTGACATAATAGAGTATTCTAACATCTCAAGTAGAATACATTTCATCTCTATGATGGATTCTTATTTCTATTATCAAACTAAGATTTAAGATTTTTTACTTTGAATGTGGTTTTGAACAAAAATGTGTAGCTAAAAATAGTTTGTTTCTACCTTTGATCACACCTAACAAAGCAAACTAAAGAGAGGTAAATCACTCGAAACTTCAATGACAATCGACAACATCCCTTGAAAGCGGAAGCTCACAATCATCTTCATCACAAGACGGAGACGGTGGTCTGATAAATGTCGATTTGACAAAAATAAGGAAAACCAAATACAAATTGAGTTTTGAGCCACATATATCCGTATTTCCATCTTTCTCTTGAACCGGCGCCGATCGAGTCATCTTTTCGGTCATTATTATGACAACAAAAAACCAAGCTTCTACTGCTAAAAGGCAAAGTAAAGTATGCTGTCATTGGAGTTTCAACTAACTTTTAAATATTAGTCCTCCATAGTCCACAGTAGAATTTTCCCCCAAATATATACCACTTTCCATTCAAGTAAATCAATTCATTTATAATACTTTATTTCTTACCATAGAAAGAAACACATACCTAATCAAAGTAACAAAAACAAAAAATATTTATTAAAGCAAAACCTAAAAAAAGCAATGTCACGGGAAGCACAACACAGAAAAAGCAAAAGACTACCTTATAGTAGTATCTTTTTCCTTTGCTCAAACCACTGATCAATGCATCATGTATATAACCAGGATCCCTCCAACCAATGCTTTGATTCGCCGGAGCATCACACATATGCTCCCTCGCATACCTCTTCACATCCGCCCCAACCACACCATCCAGCTTATCCTCCCTCTCCCCATACCTAACGAAACTCGCCTCCGGCTCCCTCGTCACGTACATAACTCTCATAGCATCCTCTTCATCCGCGAAAGCCAGATGAATCTGCTCCGGTCCCTTACTGGAAGCAAACGAAACCTCTTGAGAGAAACCGAGAAGGTTACGCGTCTGCGGTATAGGGTTACGGTCGTGATCTTGACGCTTAGGGTTGATTTCGGATTGAGTCCATCGGAATAATCGGAAGGAGTAATTCGATCGGAGGTTGACGAGCGGGAGAGAAAGGGAGCCGGAACCGTTTTGCCATGTTGGTGATTTGGAGAGGAAGAGGTAACCGATGAAATTGTCGTGGAAGGAGGTTGGTGGTGAGTAGATTCCTACCCAGTCTAGCTCCGACGGGGATTGAATACCGGACCACCGTATTTCGACGGTGTCGCCGGATTTGGATAAAGTTGTTGGGGTTACGTTGATGGAGGGTTTTGATTGTGCAAGGTTTGAGGTGAAGATGAATAAAAGAGAAAGGAAGAGTGTGGTGTGAGGAATCATTGGGACTGTGAATCGAAATCGTAATGGGAATTGAACGAAATTGAATGAATCGGAGATGAAATGGAATATGATTGATTGTTCAGTGTTCTTCAAGCTTTCATCTTAATCCATTTGGTATATTCTTCTTCATAATATTAAATTCTCTGCTGTTTTGTATAAATATGCTGGTAGTAGTTAAATTTATTGCAGTAAAATTAAAATAAAGAGAATATTCTTCACTTTTTTCCTTTAATTAGCAATTTCTAAACAATTTTTAACAATTTTGCTTCAATGGTGATTCTAATAAGTAATTTATATTTGACCCTATTAATTTATATTTGTTTTTATCAATTAGCAATATTTTATTGTTCCTTTAATGATAAGCAACACATTTTTTAGATTGCTTTAATAAGCCATTAACACAAGTGTTACATGTATCTACTCCAATATTAAAAAATTTAAGCAAGAAAACTAATACTTCCATGTAGGCACAAATTTGTGCAATATGCATTGGAGATGTTTTTAAACTTGATATTATTTAAAACTTGATGATCAAGAATGTTATGAAAATGGTTCTAGATTCTTATGAAAGTAAGTAAAGATGTAGGGTGGTATCTCAATATTTTTTAGTTTGGGGTCGGAGTATCGGGTGGTGTTAAGGGCATTTTGCACAATGTTAATAGGGTATGGTGTTAAGGAAGTGACATGGAGATGTTTCTTTGACTATACTCACAGTTGATTTCTCGAATGTTTTTAACTTGATAGATCGATCAACCTTTATACACGAGGTGGGTGAGATGTCCATCTATTTCTTTGTGGATTGAGTTTCTTTATGGTCAGGCAGTGAGGTTATACCTTGGGGTGGACATATTATGTAAGTCGTTTGAGTGTAACAGGTTGACCCATTATAGTCGCTTATGTTTATCTTGTTTTACACTCACTCATTGCTTCGATTATAGACGTTGTAAGCTTCTTTTTCATGTCAGGTATCTTGATGACGGGATCATCATAGAAGATTCAGAGGAGATGGTTAAAGTCTTTGACATTATTCATGAGACAAGTTCATGATTATATCTCGAATTGAATATTCATAATACTGAGATCTTTTGGCATTCATGTATTATGAGTAAACTTCATGGGGAGTTCTTTCCTTCGAACATTGGGAGGCCGATATTGGGGATGAAGTTGCTTGGAGGGACTGTAAGTCAAGATGGAGGCTTAATCGAGGAGTTGTTTATGAAGAAAGTTGTTAGGGGTGTTGAAATATTGCATATTCTGCCACAACTAAGGGGTACTTAGATTGAGCTTCTTATACTTCAATCTTGCATAGGTATCATGAAATTATTTTTTGTCCTAAGAACGTGTCGACCTAATCATATGAAGAAATCAACTATTTAGTTTAATAAAGAGTTGTAAGGGACGGTTGAAGACATCATGGCTTCTAGAGGTCCTTTCTTTGGGGACCTTCAATAGAGAGTGACTTTTTTATCCATTAGAGTTGTGGATTGGGTTTGTACTCATACGCTTTATGGCTTATACCACCCAATATTGGGTGTTACATGACCATATATTTGAGAGATAATGGAATATATGGTATGGACTTTAATTTTAACAAAGCCTTGGATTGTCTTAGGGTTGTGATTCTAAATATTGATCTTAGTAGTTTTACTAGCAAGACATTGTCCCTCTTAAATCACAATATGTTTTGCCGAGTGCCATTTTTTAGTAAAAGTGTTCAGGACGTGGACGTAATGGTTGATATTACCACAAGACATAAAACAGTTTTGGTTGTTTGCAAGCAACACGTGCTCAAGATTTTATCCTCGTTATTTCTATTGGTGGGCTAAGCCAACACATGTCTCCAGTAGAGTAACGCATTATCCTTAGATATCGTTTTATGATTCCCCTATTTCTTATTGATGAAGTTTTATCATGTTTGTCGCAAGACGTGCTTTGATACATTTGGGGAACACATTATTCATATAAAAGGAGGTCTCAGACTTCAAATACAAACATGGTCTTGTTAGGGATGTCATATTTGATATATTTTGATGTGTTGTGTATCGCCCTAAACCTCGAAAACTCTTATTTAAATAAAAATCATACAAAAATACTTATTTATTCAACAAGGGTGTCACATCTCTCTCATAAAACATCCTTCACAACTTAAAATTAAGCAGCAGAAATTAAAACATCATCAACTCAACATAAATATCTCATACTTTTATAAAAATAATTTATTTCTAACATAAAGACATAAATCCAATAAATTCTCAAGAAACATCAAACAACTGAAAAACTTGTCGCGATGTTACACTATTAGAGCGGAATGTGAAAATACTAAGTAAACTAAAATATGATAAATAAAACGAAGTAGGCATATACGTCAATCCTTCCATAAAGCAACAACTAATGCTCCTTTACCTGGATATATATACCATCGGGCAACGAGCCACACAAGCAAACAAAAAGGGGTGAGAAATATGCTCATAGTGTTAATGGTGTATATAAGCAGTTAGGATAGTTTTAACAACAATATTCAACAACCACATAAAATGGTTCTCACAGACATAGAACAATCACATATGTAACTTTATGAAATGCAATGTGACACATATCTACTACTTCAACATGCATGTGGTACAAAAATTTTATATTTCAGAGTTATGTTAAGTATCAATCCACATTTATGGTTCCTCATCTGAATCAACGATTCCACCAATGAATCTAAGACCCATCTCTAGTTCCTCATCTAAACCAACGATTTCATCAATGAATCTGAGTCCACCTTATTATATTAAAGTCCTACATATCTCTTATATACATGATGCATGAAATGTAAATACTAACATTAATATACTATTCAACAACGATTACTCATCTGAACCCATAACTATGCCAATATCAGGACACCATTGTAGTTCCTCATAACATGCATATACATTTATATATTTATTCAATATTACTCACCAACTGGGAAAAATATTAACATATGTGTTCAACAATACTCATCAATATAGTAAACATATTATTACTCAAATATGCTCACCAACTTGGTAAGAAAATTATTATACATGATCAATATTACTCATCAACAGGGTAACAATAATATTATACAACCCTCACATTCAACAGGGTTAACTCATAACCCATCAGACAACTCAATACAACACATTATTTTTTACCTCCAACTCTAACATTGTCAAAAGGACTCTAAACTCATCAAAAGGCAACAAACAATTACCAAAATCATAAAACTACTTAAAACTCGCCAAACTAGACTACAAAACTTGCCATTAACGGCCCACCAGTCGACCATCTCGCGTGTTGCCCGTGTGCTCGCTTTGTGGCATGCCGCCACCATCCGCATGCCCGACACGCCCAGGCAGCAGCATCTTTGTCGCACGTGCCATCGCTGACTGAGGAACCACCTCTGAGTCGTGGCTACGTCTCTACGCGATCGCATACTGCACTATTGTTGGCTCTACCGCGTGCCTTTGCCACCGTATTGCTAAATTGTTCTCGCTTATAACATGGTCATATCGAACTATGAAGGGAATACCAGCAAAACCATAAGACTTATTTAGGTATAAGTGGTTGTAGGAACAACTTCTAGACCTACGTTATTTATGGTTGTCCCCACCAAGACCAATTACAATATACTCCTTGGATGGGAGTGGATTCATGGGATTGGGGAAGTACCTACGACTATGCACTAGTGAATCACCATCTAGAAACCTGATGGCATTGTTGAGAATGTAGAGGTTGATCAAAGTTACTTTTTGGCATATGTGAATCATATTGACGAAAATAACTCTGACAAAAGATTGGCAAACATTTTGCCATGTACCCCAGCTGGAATTAAATTTTCTTTCCAGGGAGGTGTCTACTACTCAATTAAGTTACACCCTACCCACAGGTTTATGTGGGAATACGATACCAACAACAGGCATAATAGATGGCCTGACTCAGAAGACGATAATGCATGAGTCGAGCACAGTGGCTCGAATTTTGGCCTATGTGAGTGAAATAGACTAAAAGCGACTCTAGAGGTTGTGTCCCGACCAAGGGTGACTGTCGAAGTCACAACAGTTAAAACTATTGAAACCTTAAAAATTGGCCTAAATGGTCAAGTAACAGCTTCAGAAATCTGTAGGCTCGATTGCATCTATGATGATGAGCCTTTAGAGTTTGAGAAATACCCAGTAACTATGACCAAAAGGATGAAAGCTCAAGATCCTTTGAAAGAGATAAACTTAGGGGATGGGGCGATCAAAAGGACAACTTATATAAGTTTCGAAATCGACCCAAGCCTGAGAACACCAATAATAAAAATATTGAAGCAGTTCAAGAACTGTTTTTCCTGGGATTACAATAAGATGTTAGGACTTAGTTAGGATTTGGTAAAGTTAAAACTACCAATTCAATCTGACAAGAAGCTGATAAAGGAAATTCTAAGAAGGTTTGCACCAGAGGTAATATCGAAGATCAAAATAGAAATCGAAAAACTTCTCAAAACTAAGTTCATCAGAACCACCAGGTATGTTGAATGGTTAGAAAATATTATTTTTGTGATTAAAGATAATAAGACTCTGAGGGTCTGTATTGACTTCAGAAACCTAAACGTTGTTACACCAAAAAAACGAATACCCAATACTAATAGCATAAATGTTATTCGATTCAGCGGCTGATTTTAAGTATATGAGTCTTTTAGATGGTTATTATGGATATAACCAAATTTTTATTATAAAGGAAGATGTGTCAAAATGGCATTTCGATGCCCTGAGGCCTTTGGAACTTATGAGTGGGTAGTGATATCTTTTGGCCTGAAGAATGTTGGTGCAACATGCCAAAGGGTAATGAACTCCATGTTTCATGATTTCATAAAAACTTATATGCCGGTTTATATAGATGACATAATCATCAAATCCTCGTCGAAAAATGGTCATTTATACCACCTTCGACAGTCCTTTGAAAGGATGGGGAAATATGGATTTAAGATGAATCCATTAAAGTGTGCC